ATTTTCGGCCTTAAAATGGCCGCTATTCGGCTATCGTTAATCGGATCATGAAAAAAATGCATGTGCATATGTCCCATATAATGTGTGATGTATGAGTGAAGCTTGAACATAATCGGTCCATGCATGTTCGAGATACAGGTGATCACGGACGCACGGACGCACGGACGCACGGACGCACACAGGGCAAAACATAAGTCCCCGTTTTCGGACTCCGTCCGAACGGGGACTAAAAATCAAGCAAAACCACCCTTTTTCCTGTATTTTACATTCAACTAATCAAAAATTAACAAAATAAACATCATACAAAACTAAAAGCGACTAAAATATCAGCAAAAATTAAATCCAGCTAATAAATAAATGTATTTTACAGTATTAGTAAAACATGTGCTTACGCAAATTACAGAAGTGTTTCTATGATCAAAATAAGCAATATTTTAATGATTCAGTATACAAGAAATAGGATTTTTCGTTTATATGCACTTCTAATAGAGTATTTTAACACCATTACCATAAAACTTCTATTAGCATGAATATTATAAATATTATTATAAATAGAGAAGGTATGTAGTTTACTACTTTTAGCTGTGATACTGAAACAAATCTTAACTGCGTACATTACACATAATAGTGAGTTTTTCACTATTGCGATGATTTATTGGTACCGGTACATGAATTGTATGACAGAAATGACATAAAACACTGAGCTATGTAAAGCAAACGTCAAAATCAGATAATGAGGGGAAATTATGCTTTGGAACGTTTTTTTTTTTTTTTTTTTTTTTTTTAACTAGAGTTCATGCAAAACCTACGACATTTAGGAATAGAATTCCCAACAAAAATATTCCAGTGTTATCAAGCAATTTATTGTTTCTTAATGTTTTTTTTTTTTTTTACCTTTTATTCAGTTTTTTTTTAATTTTATTTACTCTGATGAAAAACTCGCAATTATAAAATCCACAAAAACACAATAAATAAAACTATGAACATTCAATCATATTATGTAACATCTTGCAACATCGTAAAACTAATGCTTTTAAAGTTGGGCTTCCAATAAAAAATAATTCTTTGTTACAAACTGCATTATCTTGATTACCCGGTACATACGAAATACAGTTTGGGATTACATTTTTGTACCAATATACTATAATTAAAGCATTGTGTTTGCAATAGATACAATATGGTACTTATAATTAGGGCAACACACTCATTACTGAAACCTAATCTCAATCGGTGATGTCAGGTGTTTACAAATGAACCATTCTCTCCACTATTTATAGAGGTGATTTGAAGGTCAATGCTTATTCAATGTAGAAATTATTTGACTTTCACCGCAAATGTATTTGCGGATATTGTCGCTAGACCGACCAACCGTATAATTTGTTAAGTGTACTATGTAGGAAAATAGTAGAAATATGTGATATTAAAAAATATACTGATTGTAATTTTATTATATTCAGTCGAAATGGAGCATATTTTTTTTATTTAGTAAATGTGGGGTTAGCAAATCCTTTGATGATCAAAAAAACATTAGGTTAAGATAGCAATAATTTTTCATCTTATAAAACATTCAATGATAAAAATGCAGCATATTCAAAATGTTATAATAATAATATTAGGACTTTGTGGTTGGAAAGGTTGGAAATAAAACAAGGTATTCCTAAATTATTCTATCAATGATGCCCATTATTTTAAGAGAAAGTATGAAATTATTTATCGCATAGATTGCGTTTCTTATTTCCTTTTCTTTTTCAAGTGTTAAAGTAGACATCCCCATCAATTCAACGAGATGCACAAAATAATCAATTATATGATTTAACAATTTTTCAAAGAATGAGGCCCTAAAAAGAATGAATATTTTTAATCCTTGTTTACAGACATTGTGATATTGAATCCATTAATTTAATGATTCTTGTATGGCCAAAAAAATTACACCAATATATGAATAATTTTTAACCTAGTGAAAATGTAACGTTTTTTCATAATAATACTCGACAGACACAATAAGTAAAATTGATCAGTGATGTATGGACTGAGAAACAATCTATGTTACAACACCTAATTATCTATAAATGGAGGTATTGTATGCATGTTTACATGTATAAACTGTCTTCATTAATTAACAAGAATAGGTAGGATCAGCCTCAACAGCCAGGATCATAACATTTTAACCACACACTATGTCCCGGACCTTTGAACACCGAACAACAACTGTTGTCATATTTCACATAATAATAACCAAAAAAATTATATTTTTTTCAATTTTTTTTATAAAACCTCCAGCCATTTGGAAATTGAGTTTATTTGATCCAAAAAAAAAATATTACTAGGGTATAGAAAAATATATAACAATGTGCAAAATCCTGCACCACAATTCTGACAGAAAATTATGGCATTCTACAAGAAGACTAGATTCCAGGTTAATTAGTATTCAAAGAGAGTTGGTATTACCACATTTTACCAAATAATATGACGTGAGCTATTTTTCAGTATCTATTGACCAGCAAATTGAATAAAACGTCACTTTTGTACACCATTACAGAGTACATGTACATTGAAAAGCTGACTATTCACCAGTCATTTAATACGTTTTGTCACCTTCAACAAAAAAGTTCTGTTCAAAACCTGAACCATGGTAGTGATTAACCTGGTAATCATAATTCAAACTATTTCATCGAAATATGTAACAAATATTATATTATGTCTATTTGCTTCAAAACTAAGAATTGAAATTATGGAAAATCTGCAAATATTATTGAAAAAAATCAGACTCATGAAGGGTTATAATGCTTCTCACAAATGGTGTTGGGGTGTCTGGAATTATGCTAAAAAAAATGCAGTTTTAATCAACATGGATGATAGTGGTTTCCATGGAAACAGCATGTGTGTCTGGATACATTGCTACGTAAAATGTAGAATGTAAAATGTTCCATCACAATGAATGAATATAATGATATCAAATTAAATGATGAAGAAATATTTGTTAAACATTCAGAAGTGGAAATGTTAAACAGAGACATTAATATTTCTAGCGCAACTGTAAACAAGCAGCCTGTCGGCTGAGATAGCTCCGCTGTTAGCAATGCACATGGCAATTAAAGAACAGAAGATATCATTAGAAAATGAACAAATCTGAGAGAGGTCCACATGTAGTACCTATATCAGGGCTCGAAATTAGTGGTAGCCCCGCGTCTACAGACTACCAGTTTCTTTCTTGGGGCTACCACTTTTCAAATTCGGTAGCCCAACTGGGCTACCAAAAATCCAGGATGAGACAGTGTTTACTCTAGGATGCGCGATTGCCCGTCTACTACACACGCCCTTAAAAAATTCTGAGGGCAAAAATCGCCCTTTTCCTCACTGCCCATTGAATTCTTTTTATGATGGCCTGTGCGTGTATTGGAGTGTGACATGCCAACTAGCTTGATCATACAAAATAACAATCACCCTCCCATATATTTCGTTTAAAATTGTGCGTCCTTATATTTAAAAAACAATACCTTCTTCGGGTATGTCAGGGTGACGCGTTAAGCAACTTGCCGAGGCAACAATGCATTGTCCTTCCCGCTTGTTGCGTGATTTAATTAATTATTTTGCTCATCCAATTTTTGATTATTACTCAGTAGTAATTATATTAAAGTATAAAAAAAAAAATTCGTTGAATTGTTATAAAATGCAACTTAGTTTCATCGTAAGCGAATGATTCCAAACTCATATTAAACACTTGATGCTGGAGAATATCCGCAATGCTTTGACCTGGGACAGAGTTCTTTGACCTGATAATCGCAAATTAACCAATCAAAATGGTGCATGATGCCAACGTGCTCATAGCTCA